TGATGAAAAGCAAGGCCCAGGTCAAACGTCGAACTTCACATGAGACGAACTAAACTGAGCGAAACAAGTTCAGGATAAGTTAGACGGTTGAATCAACTGAGTTTGTCCGACTTAATTTAGATCGACCAACCCGTTCGAATTATTAAAGCTCGACGTTTGACTCAACGGTCGAGCTTTACCCGTTTGTATCGTCTGAAATTGCAATTTATTTCGTCTCATGTGAAGTTCGACATTTGACCTGGGCCCAATCAAAACGTCTGCTCCTCCAGAAGTTGCTAAGACCTGCTAATGCATCTGGTAATAAACTAAAATTTTCCTTTAATCAGTAGGAAAAAAAACCGCGAGCAACACCAGAAACTTTCTGATAACACATACGAAGGCGGTCTTTTTGAACAGCATTAATTAGTTAAAGCTATAAAATTGTTTCAAAATTTTCATTTTAAACGATTCATCAAAAGAAAGCTGTGCAGCCAGAACAACAAAAACTTGAGAAAGTTTATACCGCGAAGCCTTTGTTTGCGCTTTTTGGCGGGAAATTAAACCAAATTAACGTTAATACCCTTTGACCACGGCGATATTGTAACGAAACCAGCTGATGTTTCGAGCGTTTTGAACTACCCGGCATTGTATTGACGTTGAAAAGAGTGAAGACATCATTACGTTGCGTTTTTTTCTGTTTTTTATTGCAAATAACTCCATTGGAACACTAATTGATAGTGACGCTCAAAATTTCAGCTTTTAATCTTAAACGGCGGTTAATTTCCTTATAATAAACGAGCAAAGTAGTTCTTAGGAAATTATTGTGTTGTGTTGCGTTGGCGGGCTACTAACATCCTTGGTTGATTATCAACTTAATATTCATAAATGACAAGTACGCGACGTACCGAATTGAAGAGGCTGACGTTTTGATCATCACAGCTTATTATTGTGCTTACGTTTGTACTTTCGAGTATGCGGCACTTCTCAAACCCAAGCTTTTTGTGCTGAATTCATTCGGACGCGTGCGTCGACCCTATCAACTATTTCTATAAATATTACATAGAAACTGGAATCACAAGATAACGAGTAATTTCCGCCACTCCGAGTTGATCAAGAGCACGTCACTGAACTCCAATGAACCAATGAACCGTCAAATATGTCGAATATGGCTTCGCGAAACTTCTTTGTGCTTATCTTCGATTCCAGCGACCTTCAATTTCATTTGCTAATACTACCTCGGTTCAGTAAACGGTGTAATAAACAAATTTAAACGACACGCACGAGCGTGCTGGAAAGTTCGTTAGAAGCAGAACTATAGGGTAAAGGTTTGAATCAGGATTTGAGCTCTCTTAACGTCATTCGAGACCTGGGTTCGAGACGACGCAGCTTAGGCCTCACAATCTAGAGCGGTTACTTTTCTATTTCTATCCAACGTGATATTGTAACCGTGCGTTATGAATGACCTGACCTCTCGATTTGTCGCGTTGCTTGCCCACAGAAATCCATATTTCCGTTCTTTTGACGCAGGAAGTTGGACGTTCGTGAGAAAGCAGACAACATGAGATGCAACATCGAAGACGTGATCAAGTGTGTTGAAGTACCTCCTGTGACAAGTCCAATAACTGGGACGTGAGTTGAGTATCCTTCCAGCGGAACTCATTATCACCGGAAGGATGTCATATGGAGTAAGAACTTCAGGAGTGGTTTGCGTGGTCGAGTTTTTCTGGGAGAGATTGTAGAAATTTTAGTTTCGGTGTGGAGCATATTGCTTTTCAATAAGAGAGTGAAAAAAACCGGGCGTAAATTCTTCGGGTCAGGCTTAAAAATTGAAGAAAAATCAGCAGTACGTCTAAGACCCTTTCCCTGCTCGACTTTCGTACGACCCCTCGAGGACGCGCGCGCGACCGCCAAAAAAGATCGCGTGTGACATGTTGGTTACTCTTTTAGTCTTTTACTTAGGAGTTCTAACACACTCTCATACTTTCTTCTCCCATATTCGTTGGTGGGATTCTACAAGTCCTATAGAACGTTTTGCACTACAGTCCTGCTCTATCAACATCTTTTTGTCAAAAGAGGAAGAACATGAAGTTCTCGTGACCAGATCTCTGTGACGCTATGAAGACAAATCTCGGCCGCGCGAGACTTGGGTATGGCAGTAGAACATAAAGGTGATACGCAGGTGGCCAAAATAGACTTTTATTTACAAATTAGTAACAAATCTAACTAAACCTTTAAAGTGTACCTTTACAGTAAGTGAAAACCTTGTACACTCCTTGTCCATTTCTATTATTGACACGAATCTCGTGTCGTTTTCTAAACTTCACAAACCCCGCTACAAAAAACGTCATTTTCTCCAGACGCTGATTGCAGCGCACCTTAATAAAAATTCAGTAAGCTAATAAATTCTGACCATCCCAAAAACTCAAGCAATATTTTGTACGACACACGTTACTAAATTGAGACGGGAGAAGTGGACCTTTAAATACACAGAATTCTGTTCTTGATCAATGTGATATTTGTGTCCAATACACGATGATATATTGAAAGACCTGATAAATACACAAGCAACCGATTTAATCTAGTCTAGGTACCGTATAAATATATAGCTTAGTTACTTTAAATAGAATTATTTGGGATTCTAGCCAACAAATATACATTCCCACGTCATGGCTTGCAGAAATTCGTTTTGTCTCCGCGGAAGATACGCAAACCTTAGTTGACGCTACAGCAGAAGCCCGGGTTAAAGATATTACTTAACAGTTGGTTTACGTTTTTTTTTTAACTGGAATCTTAATCCGCTTCGTTGAATTGATCCAGTTTGGTTCACTTATTTTTTTAATTAAAAACTTCTTTTGATGCTGAGAGCAAATACAGACTTGCAACTATAACTCAAAGTGACGCAAAGGATCAAAGACTCGACAAGAAACTGATAAAAACTCGAGACAGCCCCGCGCACCGCTAAACCTTACCCAAGAAAAATACTCTAATATACTCATGCGCAGTAAAACAGTTTCCTTATGCTGACCTAGGCTTTGAAACCAAGGAAAACCATATCAACTGAATTACTCTTCCGTCAATCAAAAAGATTACGCTGTCTCCCGCCAATCATAACAGGCCTACAGTAACGTGTGTCCGTAATGGGCTTACTAGTTTCTACTCTCCGCGGATCTACGATTTGACATAATTGTTTAAGGAGTTTTGAGTCCATTTGAAGATTCCGTATAAAACTAGAAATTCACGGGAAAAAAAGAAACTACATACAGTACTAGAAGTTGCATTATAAATTTGTGATACTAACTATTGTGGAAGTGCGGCGGCTATGAGGTGTAACACAACATCCGTGCTCTCATTTAAGCGTTTTGAAAACGAGAGCCGTTTGTGGGATATCTCGTTAAAAAAAACACCAGACAGTTTCCGATTCGAGGTTGAATGTCGTGTTACTAACAAATTTCCACTCTCTTACCATAGAGCAGTCGCAACCGACAGTTTTCTACCAAAAAAGGCAAAATTTCCCTGACTAACCAGCTCAATACCAATTGACACGACCGCGATACACAACTCATCCCATATTTGCAAATAAGAGCAATTCTGGATCTAGCAAACGTTTAAAGATGGCAATATTACGCGCGTCTCACACTCACTTGTAAAGACGCCATATTGGATTTGACTGACCGAGAAGACACTGGGGACAAGTTTAAATACACACTAGCTACCAGTCTCCTAAAGTCTCGCGTCTCTTTGTTGATAAAGCACCGCATTATCATTCAATTCGTTAAGCGATTCAAGTTCTTCTCTAGTTTCAACTATCGTGACGTCGAAAGGACTGCCAGGTATATGTTGGTCAGCCCATTTGATGTTGATTATATAACGTCCTGCTTCAGTGGGGTTGTATCGCACACCGATAGAGCGTTCCTTAGACGTGTCACGGTACATTTCCACCTTGAAGGCCCCTCGAGGTCCATGGATTCTTATCTTGAGCGTTCCTGGTCCTGCACCCTTAGTTTCGACGAGAAATTCACCTTTAAAACTTCTTAACAATCCATTTTCCAATCCAGGACCTGACAAAAAAAAAAAAAACATAGAAGAAATATTTAGACATTATCAATGTCATTTGCTTTGAACAACTGCAGGACATTTTACTGAGGAGTGAAGGCACATACCATACACACGGACTTTGCTAGGGTCAGGGGGCTGTCCCACGCGCACCAAAAAGGGGCTTCCATGAACCGGCCTTCCACCCCACTCTACGTACACAAGATGGTTGCCAACTTCGGTGGGAAAGATCTGTACTTGGTATGTAGAGTCTTTGTTGTCAAACACGGTGCAGTCACAGTCCTTTGAGGGTCCCTGACAGCGTACGTAAAGCTGACCCGGGCCCGCATCCTTGCTGTTGATATTGAACCCCATGGCTTGACCCACTGTAGCACCGGCACCCTCCTTGAGCATGTTCCCTGATGGTCAAACAAGTTAAACTGGTTTTTAAGCGCCTTGTTGCTCTTTATTAGTTTATTAGTCACTTTGTTTGGGTGAATATTTCTTTGTTACTTACTTGTGGCTTTTTGTCAACCGTGTTCACATTAACTGTAATTAAGGCTAGCAGTAATAATTCAGATTCAAACTAAGTGTTTACTATTACGAGACGAGCGTTTTATCGAAGAAAAAATTCCCCGTCGACTTCCAGTCATTGTTGTAAAGAGAACGTTCATCACACTTTTCTTTTGAAGCAAGAGAGAGAGAGAGTGCAAAGCTCACGGAGGGTAAGTCAGTTGTCTAAAGCAATCTTGGCTTTAGATATTTCTCACCTTCAACAACACAACTTGTCGCTTTCATAACTTGTGCTTCCCTGATGGTGACCTTGTAAGGACTATCCGGGATATGTTGTCCATTCCACATCAGGGACAGGACATAAGCACCCGTCTGCGGCACAAGGTAGTGGCAGGCGTACCGACCGTCCTTCAAGTCATTCACTTCTATGTCTGTGTGGTATTTGATTCCAGTAAGCTTGCCTGTCAGTTTCCCACGGCCGGCATTACGAGCATCCACCATGAAATCTATCTTCTCGTTTACTATACCTGTGAAAAAAGACAATCGAGGTAAGAAGGTGTCTCTAGCCTGGATTTCAACCGTCTCCTCTACTCGTTTACTGAAAGCCCCCTTCCCCTGGGGGTACTCCCCGTAATGGCCTATACGGGCAGGCTCTGTCCGAAAGGGGTACCTTTCAAGTATATTAGAGGGTAGGGATTTCACAAGATGAGGTACATGAAAGGGTAGGGAAATCGGAGTATCTAGATTTCTGCCATAACACGAACTGAACAAACAATATTTGTCTTTTGGTTAACATCTCTTCTGGTAATGCTTAATCTTCTCGCGTAATATTGTTCATTAACTTCATTCCAAGGAATGAAAAGGAGTGCAGTGTTCTTAAGTAGGTATGTTAAAGAGGCACCTTTTTTCAATAAAAGGTATACGAAAATGGGGTAGCTTTTCTGTGAAAATGGTATACAAAAGGGTGAGGGGTTGAACCTTGGGGCGGAGCCTCCTCGTATAAAACTTTCAAGAGTAACCCCACCCGCAGGCTGTAAGCAAACAGAAAGAGGTTTCATTTACCTCCTTTGAGTCCGTCTCCTGACGCAAAAACCTTCTTATGTCCCTCGCTTCCTTCAATGTTTAACATGAACGGTGAACCCTCTACCGGCACTCCGTCATACTCCACGTCCACCCTATGGCGGCCAGGCCTCAGCGGTACAAACCGCACGTGGTGCAAGCTGGTGGCTGGGTCGTAAGACAACTCGTTGTGAAGTAGTTCCATCTCTGGATCAGTCACACGACATTTCAGATAATCTGCCGAGGAGCCTTCTGCAATCTTGATCGGAATGTTCGCCTCACGGTTCTCGATGAAGCGTTGATCAGCTTGGTTGAAATTCACCACTTGGGCTGCTTGGACTTGGTCCGTGACGTTCACTGTAAACGGAGAGCCTTGGACGGGTTCACCTCCGTAACGAACATCCACCTGCGCACAAAGATAATAATAGTGAATTGAAGCAAGGTTATTTCTTTTTTCACTTACAACTTTCGCGCTGTAAAATCCTGAAAACAAACCCCACCTCCGAAAATAGGCCTCGTTAAATCTGATGTCTTGAAGAACAATGCAATTTCTCCCGATAATGTGAAAAACTTCCCGACCATATAGCTTGGATTATTTATTTAAATTCGAGCAAGTGCAAATATAAATTTAAATGTAAATTGGATAGTGCAGACAGACTTTTGATGCTGATTTTTTTCAGTCACCACGAGGTATTCTTTGCTTTTAGGCACCTTATCTTTTCCAGACGCATAATTTCTTCCAATGCATAACCCAGTGATTCAATTCAAAACGCAAAATTGCCTCCAATAGTAAGCTCCCTCCCCTCCTCCCTACGATAAGGCCCCACACCACCACATTCATCGTCACTTCAACAACCCTTCCAATACACATTTTAAACCTATTATGGTATTTTTACCTTAATTGAATCAGATCGCTTTTTACCTTATATGGACCCGGTTTGTGCGGGGTGAACTTCACGTGGTGACGATTGTCGGTTCCTTTGCTCACGTGACAAGGCACGTTTTCTCCATCCGGGCTAGTCACTGTTGCGGAGAAGTCTTTATCGTTCATGTCATACGGGCTTTCTACCGCCAAGTCCACCTCGTTCTTGATGACTCGCTCCGCAAATAGCTCCTCGCTACGCACATGCGCAACCTGCACCTTGCCTGGATCACCTACTTTGATTAGGAAGGGACTGCTGGCCACTGGAACGCCGTCACTTTTAACATGAACCTGGTGAAAGAATACAATGTACACAGAAACGTGGAAACAGGTTTCAAAATTAGATTTATAGAAGAGGGGATATAACTTTTTTAGTTTTGTGACATCATGAGAAAACCCGAATTCGCCTCTCCGTACAGGAACCCATCACCCGGAGTCTCTATGCGTCCTATACCCTAGAATCGACCCTTTCCCGTGTGTTTCTATTTTTAGAACTGTTATTACCGCAGGGTCTCTTTGTTTCCCGCGAAATATCTTGTTTCCGCAACTGAAAAAAACAAAGGAGAAGCCAAAGGGGGATCCCATCTTTGTTGTAACAAAGGGTTTTCTTTGTTCGGGTGTGATGGCTTTTATTAAAAAGAGGTCGTGTGAAACTGTTTCCAAAAAAAACAAGACACGGGAAAGGGTTGACTCAAAAGGTTAGTGTGGGAGATCATTTTTTACCGAGTCCTTACCTTGTAAGTTCCAGGTGTGTACGGCACAAACTTCACGTGGTACAACCCATCGTCTCCTTTATCAAAAGATGAAGGTACATTCTCGTTGTCGGGTCCATCAACATATGAAGACATATTCCGAGTACCTTCTGCTGCATCGAGCGCGATATCAAGCTCGCGGCGGACTAAGTACTTGTTCTCAGACTCCTCCGGTTGGCGCAGTCGGACCACGGCTGTGTCTGGCTGGGCTACGTGTAACGGGAACGGACTGTTTTCCACGGAGACTCCTCCACGGCGAATGTCAATCTAAAGAGAGAACAAAAGAATTAGAAAGTTTCAGTGTTTTGCGTTAGAGTAGTTTACATTTGACTGTTGAAAAGTGATTGGTTTTGCACGACTATGCTAATGATTGGCTTAAAAATGTCGCGCCAATTTTTCATCCAATCAGAAGTAAAACCAAAACCAATTGAGATTCGTTCGCACGCGTTTTCCCACGCTTCGAGTCAGATCGAGTCTTGATTGATTCGCTGTATTGCCGGTGTCCTTTGTGATTGGCTAGAGTGATTACTTTGGTTTTCCGACACTCGATTTAAAATCGCTCTAAACAAGAATTACAATTTGAGAATCAAAATTTTCAATTCAATTTTTCAAACGGTGCGTGAATCTTTCACCCTCAGGTTATATAATTCATGAGCAAAACAAGTGAAACAAGATATCTGCCGAAAATATAATGATAACATATGTTGAAAAGTTCCACCTTTTCTGTAATCAATTTTCATTGGCCTTTTAATGTCAGCTTTTCCAGCAAATATCTGGAAACACAATAATTTGCTCTATAATCAGTCCTTAGCTCGAAATATTAATTCTCCATACCGGTTGCTATGCATTTATGTAATGTCGCTTCTGAGAATCTGGAGGTTCATCAAAACAACTACCCCTGCTGATGATTTGCTTTATTCTCGCCACCTACTGCTTGAAAATGAGTTGATTTTGTGAGGGGAAATAAGATCTTGATCAGACTCTACTTACATTGTACTGCCCTATCTTGGTTGGAGTAAATCTCAAGTGATAAAGACCATCAGGTTCTTTCTGGAAAGTGGATTTCACTGTGTTACCATCCGGGTCATACACGGCAGCCGATACTTCGTCAACTTCTGCTGGGATTTCCATTGGTACGTCCACCTCATACCCCACGTGATAACGAACTCCTTCCTGGCAGGGGAGGGGAGGAGAGACAGGTTACTAAGATATACAGAAATG